CTATTATCGTATTTTGTCATCTAGCCATTGATAAAAAAGACCCCAAATTTCATAAAATTGTTTATCCTCTTGCTCTCTAATTTCAAATGTCAATCTACTCATCTCAGCACATTCCAATATTTTCTTAATAATTTCTTCCTGTGATGGTATTTTCTCATTCTTCCAGTTTTTAGCAAATACAATCCTAGCCGCTGTTAATACATTTACAATCAGATATTTCAAGTCTTTACTGTATGTATCTGGTAAGATTCCCAATAAAAAGAACTCCGGTTTCAAATCTATACGTTTCTTTGTCATTTTTTCCAACCATATGCGAATTCTAGTCCAATATTTTTTAGCGTCCACACAAGTCCACCACATATGGTAATATGAGCCAGGTATCTGATGACATTTCCAGCACTTTTCAGATTTGTTCTTGAACATTCTTGCTATTCTTGTCGGGGGAAAGTGCCACCTGTAAAACATCTTATACAAATTTTCTTTATATGCTGTTGACATTGTCATTTTATAATTTTGAGACCACAATTTTTGCCATTTCTCTAAATCAATCCCATATCCAAAATTCTTCCCCCAAACAATCATAGTTTCTTTAACTTGTTCTTCCTCTAATTTAATTCCCAGTAAATAACCATATAATTTTTTAATCACCTTCTCATCAGTACCCATCAAGATCTTATCTAGATCAGTCTGTTTATCATAGAATCCCTCTGTTTTAGAATCTTCATCATACCTTGAATGTATTTGCACATATGAAAACCAATTCATCTTTATACCTTGTTCCTCTAAATTTTGTATCGATTTAAGTTCACCCTTTTCATCCAATAGTTCCCCATATCTAACTGTTCCTTCTTATAAATTATAGGATAGGAAAATGCTTCAATAGTCGATAACCAAACTGGAATTTTCAAATAACATTGTCTTTTTATCTTCTCCCAGTTTAACCACAAAGACTCCCGTATATAATGTCTTCTAAAATAACCCTGTGTTTTAGTTCCCTTATACCATAAAAAAGCATGCCAACCCAACAGCAAATCATGACCTTCTAGTGTCAACAATCTAGTCTTTCTTAATGTTATCCATTCCTTAACCCACATCAAACTTGCAGCTTGATAGTACAATTCCCAATTGGGCAGGCCAAAACCTCCTCTAATTCTAGCATCTTGCAAAAGCTTTAGCTTTATTCTCGCTTTCTTACCTTGCCATATATACTTCAACATAATTTTATTTAAATCTTCAAAATAGACTTTTCCGAGCCTAATTGGTATTGTTTGAAACAGAAATAGGATTCTAGGTAAAATATTCATCTTAATTGTTGAAATTCTCCCTATTAATGACAATTGCAAGTTTTCCCATTTCTTCAAGTCTGTAGCTATCTGTTGTTTAAGTTTAATATAATTATTCTCTTTTAATGTGCTACATCTTGCTGTCAAGTGTATCCCCAGATACTTGACCTTATTCGTAACTTGGATTTTCAACAGGTCTGCCAGTTCTTCTCTTTGTCTCAGTAGCATGTTCTTTGTCAAAATCTTTGTTTTGTCTTTATTTATTTTCAAACCAGCCACCTCACCATATATCTCTATCTTTTCCAATAACTTTGGAGCTGTTTCTAACGGATCTTCCAAAATAAAAGCTAAGTCATCAGCAAAGGCTTGCAGTTTAAATTCTTCCTTTTTAATTTTCATTCCTTTTATGCTTTTATCATCTCTAATATTTCTATTCAACACTTCCAAAGTCAATACAAATAGCAAAGGAGATAGGGGACATCCTTGTCTTGTGCCTTTTCTTATATTGATAAAGTCTGTAAGTTCTCCCTCCATCATTACCTTTGCTGTCTGTTTATTGTATATGGCTTCTATTGCTTGGATAAATTTTCTGGCAAAACCCGTCTGTTCCAATAGTAATAACATAAATCTCCAGTTCACGTTGTCAAATGCCTTTTGAGCATCTAAGAATATCAAAGCCATTTGCTTTTCAGAGTGTGCCTCATAGTATTCCAAAGTATCCAAGATTACTCTCATATTGTCTCTAATTTGTCTCTTTGGCAGAAATCCATTTTGATCTGGGTGAATGAAATTATTTAAATATTTTTTTAAGTCTTTCTGCTAAAATTGAAGCAAAGATTTTATAGTCTGCATTCGCTCTCGTGGCATGAAGTGAAGTAACTTGTGCAAGGAGTAAGACCGATTTATGGAGACAAGAACTCTCAGTAACTCTTAGATATGATCTACCTTCAAAGGCTGCCTCCCTTCTCAAGAGTAGTTGCAGGAGACAGGAAGGTCCTGACGTGGGGGCCTCACCTTTTACACGCAGCAGGTAATGAATGTTCCATCATGGGAGGTTTTTGAGAAGAGTTTGGACAGCCATTTGTCCAGAATAGAATAGAGCCATGATGGCAAACCTTTGTGCGGGCATGTGAGCCCCAGGCAAACTTACCTCACACGTGCGTGCCTCCCAGCTGATTTTGGGGCCTTTTTCAGCCTCCCAGAGGCTCGAGGGAAGCCTCTGCAACCTTTGGAGGCCAAAAAACAGGCCCGTTTCATCACTTCCTGGATTTCCGGAAATACCGGAAGTGACGAAATGGGCCCATTTTTCAACCTCCAACGGCTGCAGAGGCTTCCCTCGAGCCTCTGGGAGGCTGAAAAAGGCCTGAAGATCAGTTGGGAGGTGTGCGCATGCGCAATGCAGGTAAGGGGGTGCGTGCATTGTCTTCTGGGTGCGCGCGTGCAGTTTTTGGTACAGGAACTCAAAAAGGTTAGCTACCACTGGTATAGAGTTGGGCTAGAAGATTTCTAAGGTACTTTCCAAGCTTTCTAGCAATAGCGGTAGCAATAGCACTTAGACTTATATACCACTTTATATACAGCCCTCTCAAAGTGGTTTACAGAGTCAGCCTCTGCCCCCCCACCCCAACAATCTGGGTCCTCATTTTACCACCACAAAAGGATGGACGGCTGAGTCAACCTTGAGCCTGGTGGGATTCAATCTGCCAAATTGCACTGCGCCACCGAGGCTCCTACTCCATCTAGCTACAGTTAAGTGAATCAATTGCAGTTGTTCACTTAGTAGCATGGCTGTTAAGTGACTCTGATTTCTTCACTGACTTTGCTTGTCAGAAGGTTGCAAAAGATGATCACATGATCCCCAGACACTGCAGCCATCATAAACTTGGCATTCCAGTTGCCAAGTATCTGAATTTTGATCATATGTCCGTGAGGATGTTGCAATGGTCGTAAGTGTGAAAAATTGTCATAAGTCAGTGGTTTGGAGTCCCTTAGTGCCCACTGGAGACCTAAGTCCAGGCCCTCTTGAATTCCACGAATTCTTCTCTAGTGCCAGTTTGCCTTGACCATTGGTAAATCAGATTCTTGTGTATAGAAAGTAGGTAATAAATGGAGTGCTTTGAACTCAGTTCCTGTTCCTGGTTATTTGGCCCTGACACAATCCAGATTCATAGTTCCAATGTTCAGTACCCTCCCATGGTCATGTGACCAGGCTCTCAGCAACTGGGCTGCATTCACGGCCATTTGCAGCACCCTGTGGTCAGTTTTATGGTGTTTTGCCAAAAACCAGCATTTATTTCCTGTTTACCACAAAACTGGCCCATAGCAAACTGTGGATCTGCAGCATGTCACTTTACAATCATGGTGTTCGCTTAAATGAGTGCGCAATGGTGGAGCAGTGGTTAGAATGCAGTATTGCAGGCTACTTCTGCTGACTGCCGCCTGCCAGCAGTTCGAGTCTCACCGACTGAAGTTGACTCAGCCTTCCATCATTCCCAGGTCGGTAAAACGAGGACCCAGATTGTTGCGGGCAAGATGCTGACTGTGTAAACCGCTTAGAGAAGAGCACTGTGAGGCAGTATATAAGTGCTATTGCTATTAAAATTCATATAATTGAGTTGGTCACATGGTTGACCCGCTTTATGGCTGTCACAACTTAAAACCATAATGGGCAGTCTCCATTACAAATCTATTTGTCCCAGGTTAATGTTGCAGGATCCAATCTGGGTCGGCCGAGAGGTTTAGTCTTCTAAGCTTTCGGACTTATGTTGGAGCCCATCCTTGCGGAATTTCTCTCTACCAGTCTCCATTAGAGTGGGTAGGATTCAAAAAATTTTACTACTGGTTCCGTGGGCATGGCTTAGTGGGCGTGGCAGGGGAAGGTTACTCCCAAACCCCCATTTCCTCCTTGCCTCACCGACCTGCTTTCCAGCTCCGTTCTCCTGTGCAGGGCAACCAAAGAAGACCCAATCGATCAGCTGGGACTCAATGGGAGGCAGAGAAGAGGCGGTATTGGCCAGTTTTCCCAACGACTCAAAATTTCCGCTACCGCTGACCGTAGAACCGGTCAGAACCACCTGAATCCCACCTCTGCTCCATTACATCACAATTGGAGGACTGTCTGTAAACTGGTGGATCGTTTCCGTCATTGTAACCAGAAGTTCAGCTCTTTTAATGTTGGGATCAGGGTATCCTTTATGCTGGTGGGCGCCTGTAACACCCCAAGAAAAGGCCACACACATCAGCTACGAGGCCGCCTAAGGCCCAAAGAAGGCCAGCGTCATTTTTCTCCCCTTTCACTGCTTCACTCTGGGCAGAACCAAAGGGTCCTGTGTCAGGGGTGCCTCATGCAAAACCCAAGAAAGAAATCCTTCCACTCCATTGATGTAGAGGAAAAAGTACTTTTACTGAGTTTGAAGTGATAGCAACAAAAGGAAAACAAGATCTGAAGCAAATAGGCACGAATATTGAAAGTTATCCCAGGTTTGTTTATTTATTTAATTTATAGTGCCACCTATTTGCCCAAAGTGACTCAAGGCGGCTTACACAATGGAAAACCATATTTAAAACAAAAAAATAAAAGTAATTAAAAAAAAACAATAAAAACTAACAAAAAGAATCAAATAAATTAATAAAGTACAATAGAACAAAACCTGGGAAAAATAAATAAATAATCACCCCCAACTCCCCACCTCCCACCCCAGCAAAAGCAGATCATACTAGCCATTTGATGGGCTCCATCCCACTCTGGGCTCCCCAGGCCCGATGGCCGAACCAGGCCTTCAGTGCCTTCCGGAAGAGTGTCAGGGTGGGGGCCATTCTTATCTCTGAGGAATGATGTTCCAGAGAGAGGGAGCCACCATGGAGAAGGCCCTTCTTCTGAGTCCCACCAGGTGTATCTCCCTCAGGGGTGGGACCCGCAACATTCCCTGCCTCCTCGCTCTAATGGGTTGGGTAGGTGTGACCGGCAAGAGACGGTGCCTCAGATAACCCTCCCCCAAGAGTCCAGACTGGGTCTCCAATCTGAGGTGTGCATAATGTCATGTGAGGTATGTATATGTGTGTGTGTATACACACACACACACACACACACACACACACACACATATATAGATACATACATATTTGTTTTCTTAATTTTTCGCAGGTACTTACATGTATGGTATTCAGCTTTGTTCGGGTATTTTCCCACGTCATTATAGTTGTGTTTTTAAAGTTGTAGCAACGTTTCGGCAGAATCTCATCTGCCATCATCAGGCTTCTGTATTGTGTTAGTCTGTGAGTCAGACTTTTACAGTTGTTTCAGTTTTAAATTTGGGGCTAGCCTACTGCTGTGCCAGAATGGTTTTTTTCTTCATCCTGATTGGTTGGGAGTCTTGGTCTGTGTTTATTGGTCTTGGAGTTTGCTGTGTTCTGCTTGATTGGTGTTTCTAATATCTTCTGTCTGTTTTGTGGCTTTTTTTGTCTTGGTTGGCTGGTAACATTGTGTTCCTGTATTGGAGGCGTTTAGTGCAGCTTGGCTCTGAGTAAATGGACGGCTATCATTTATTAGGAAGCTAGGTTTCATCTGGGTGCCTGGTTGGGGTGTGTTTGAGCTGGAAGTATCAGGGGGGATCTGTTTGTGCCCAGGTGTTTGCCTGGCTTGTGGTGTGGAGATTTTTTTGTTTGTGAGTGCAGGCTTCCAAACAATTGGCAGTCTGGTGGAAGCATCTCTTCTATTCATGCTTTCAGGACTTTTTTCAATCTCTATGGCTGAAACTGAAAACTGAAGTAAAACTGAAACAACTGTAAAAGTCTGACTCACAGACGAACACAATGCAGAAGCCTGATGATGGCAGATAAGATTCTGCCGAAACGTTGCTACAACTTTAAAAGCACAACTATAATGACGTGGGAAAATACCCGAACAAAGCTGAATACCATATATACATACATATACATACACACACCCAAATTGTTGGGGGCAATATGCTGACTCTGTAAACCGCTTTGAGAGGGCTGTAAAGCACTATAAAGTGGTATACGAGTCTAAGTGCTATTGCTGTTGCTCTCTTCAGGTGGTTTCTCACTCATCTGGTATGCCAAGACGGTTGGCCTTGGCTTAGTAGAGTTAAGTCTATGCAGATGCACAATAAGCAGGAAAGCATCCCCTCCTCTTTAGTTCACACAGAAAATGTCTTCACTCTCTAGCACCCTTTCCCACCCCCCAATAACAAATTACCCCTCCCCCATCTCTATGGCAGCTGACAGGAAGCCAGCAGCAAAAGATGTCAAGAAAACTTGGGGGAGGCTGACATTCTGATTTTCGGCGTGCCTAAACCCAGCTTTCCGGAGAAGGTTGAAAAAGAGAAGCATTTCAACAAGGCCCAGCTGGGTTGCTCTGCATTCAGCTCCTCCCCAAAAGCTGATTTCCTTCTCCAGCTGCTCCATGAATAGAAGTGGGAAGAAGGAAACAGTCTTTCCATGTTGTCATGAAATCTCGGGGGTCAAACCTCTCGGGGGTCTTTGTGCAGAGTTCCGTTGGGACAGGATGGAGCTCAGAGTTCATCTTGTTGGTCGTTTCTGGTGCATCCCCTTTCTTTTCTTCTATTTTGGACAGGGACAAGCAAGTTGACCCCGTGAGAGCAGAAGAGGGCTTGTGCTGGCCTGTTAATTGGCAGCTGTTTCACTTCCTTTCCAGTGGGCCGTTCAATTCCAGTGCAGCCTCTCGCATATTTCCTGTCCCTGTGAGGTCTGGTAACCCATCTGTGGAATCCAGAAGACAGTCAGTTGGTAGGATATGAGAAGAGCCTTCATAAGAAGGGATCTAGAACAGGGGATCTCCAACCTTGGCCACTTTAAGACTTGTGTTCTTCAACTCAATAATTTCCCTGGCTATCTTTCTACCTGCTTGGCCGACAATCTTAGTAGATGGAAATTGAATGTATGTCCTGTTAAAGAGCCTGAGAATAAGGGTAGGAAACCCAGATTTGTTTCTGCTCCATCAATTCCCCTCTTTGACTAGCAGTGGAACTTAGTACAGCTACAGTGATTCACTTAACAACCATGGCACAAAGAGCATCAAATCAGACATGACTCTCCTAGCAACATTTAGCAACAGACATTCTGGTCTCAATTTTGCTTGTAAGTCAAAATCTACCGTGTTTCTCATATAATAAGGCCGGGTCTTATTTTTTTTTGAGCTCCGAAAAAATGGCTAGGCCATCTTTTCAGGGGTGACTTAATTCCCCCCCACCTTGCATCTTCGGGCAGGCGGCGACGGCTTGGATGTTGACCTCGGCGTTGGTGGGGCACTTCGTATCGGGGTCAATGCAGGCAGCACCATATCCGGGTGTGCAACAAAAGTACTTCCTAACGGCAAGCCCCCCCACCATTCCCCCCATTTCGCATGTTTTAATATAGGCCTTAATTTGGGGGGAGGGGCTTAATTTCATTTCATGCCTATAAAACATGCTGGGACTTCCTATTGGGGGAGGCCGTATTGTTGGAGAAACAGGGTATCTGTTATGCTCTCTCAACATTAGAGTCTCCAGCATCTTTTAGAGCAGGGCTGTCAAACTGGATTTCATCGAGGGCTGCATCAGGGTTGTGTCTGACCTCAGGGTGGGTGGGCGTGGCCAGGATGGGCGTGGCAAGCTCTACATCACCTTTGTCGGGGGCACCTGGGCTCCGTTTTTGCCGGCAGAGGCACTGTGGCTGGTCCTTCACTGTTTCCAGGATGGCCCCACGGGCCAAATCGAAGCACCCCATGGGCCTGATTCAGCCTATGGGCCTTGAGTTTGACCCCCTGCTTTTAGAGCCACCAAGAAATTGGACACCACTTGATGCTTGAGTTCCCCTGCTAGGAAGTTTGTGCTGACGGTCAAGGATGATGGGTCATGTGGGTGTCTGATTTATTTTGCTGCTCCTCACTCAAAGCAACTGGGCTTCCTTTATAAGGATGGACAATATTCTCTTGAGCAGGACTCTCCAACCTTGGCCACTTTAAGACTCGTGGGCTTCAACTCCCAGAATTCCTCAGCCAGCAAAGCTTAAAGTAGCCCAGGTTGGAGACCCCTGGTCTGCTGGCTGAGGGATTCTGGGAGTTGAAGTCCACAAGTTGAGAACATGCTGAGAAAAGGATTGGGAGCTGATCAAGCCACACAGAAAGAGAGTAAAGGTTCCTTTTGAAGCCCATTTGCCTCTGAGATTGCTTCTATGCCCGCGGGCACAAACTCTGCTCTCGGATTCTTGGCTGTTTGTTTCTGTTACTTCTGCATAATAAAAGAAGGCTGGTAATGTAAAATGATGAAAGGGTTAAACCGATCCTTTCAATCCCAGCAACTTTAAGATATGACGACTTCAATCCCCAGAATTCTGGGAGTTGGAAGTCCTCACATCTTAACATTCTAATGTGGAGAAACCCCTGATTTAGTTCCCATCTCAGCTACCAAATCTATTCCTTGATTTTGGGGTCGGTTTCCATCTCCCTGGCAAAGCTTTATGAGAGCTATTCACAAACCTGGTACCAGTAGATGCAATAGCCAACATTCAGACTTTGGTTTGTTTTGAACGTGGTATGTAAGGTATGTGAGGGTTTAAGTTGCATGCACTCAACTCATTTGGCTTATTCATGGTTCAGCCTATTGAAATAACCCAGGAAATGGGATGATCCAGTAATCAAGCTAAAATAATGTACCGGATTCCAAAATTGGAGACAGCCTTCAAGAAAGGGATCTGAGCTGTCCCATAGAATGAAAGTATTACTTATTTATTGTCTCTCTGCAAACTCATGAAAATCCTTCTTGGTACCCAAATGTAACCAAACGTGAATGCATCTCTTCATATTCTCATGTTAATTTTGGGTACTTTCTTTTCCCCCTTACTTATTAAATTGATGATGTCATCTAGTTGGGTATTGAAACGTCAGCAAGAAAATAACCAAGCTTAGAGAGCACCATGGGCTCCACAGTTGTTCTCCTCCTCTTCCTCCTCCTCCCTCCCTCCCTCCTTCTCTCCTTTCCTATAACCCCTCTCTCTTCTAGCACTGATGATGTGACCTACTTGGGTCATGAAACGTCTGCAAGAAAACAACCAAGCTCAAGAGAGCCCCAAGAGCCCCACTTATTAAATTTCAGTTCTTAGTGAAGGCACCTTGGAAATGACATTTCAGAAAATGAGACCTTCTCTCTTCTCTTTATCGCAGGCTTGGTCCACTGACTCCTTGCCAAGATGCCGTTGGTGAAGCGCAATATCGAGCCCCGCCATCTTTGCCGGGGGGCCCTTCCTGATGGGGTGACCAGCGAGTTGGAGTGTGTGACCAACAGCACTTTGGCTGCCATCATTAAACAGTTGGGAAGCCTCAGTAAGTGGGCAGGTTTCACACAACCTCCTTCATGCCTGTTTGTCGAAGCAGACCGAATTAGGGCGTGGCTCGGAGGGAGTTGGCCTTGAGAGTCTAAACAAGTCCCTTTCAGTTCCACGAATCTTAATTTAATTTAATAATTTTTATTTAATGTATGTGCCACCATCCTGCCAAGAGGCAACCCTAGGTGGCTTTCAACCAAGTTGAAATGTAATTCTAAGCTACATTAATGGAGGGGTAGAATCAAGAACACGTGAAGTTCTATTACTACTTTACTTTGTAAAGCCTTAGTAAGGCCGTGCTTGGAATACTGCATCTAGTTCTGGTCACCACAATATAAAAAAGATGTTGAGACTCTGGAAAGAGTGCAGAGAAGAACAACAAGAATGATTAGGGGGCTGGAGGCTACTCATTTGGTTCAGTCTGTTGCATTAACCCTAATTTAGTAATCAGGCTAAAGTAATGTGCAGGTACTCCTCGACTTACAACAGTTCACTTACTCACTGTTCAAAGTTACAACAGCACTGAAAAAAGTGACTTACGACCATTTTTCACTGTTACAACCTTTGTAGCATCCCCATAATCATGTGATCAAAAATCAGATGCTCAGCAAATGGTTCTTACTTATGACCATTGCTTTGTCCCGGGGTCACATGATCCCCTTTTGTGACCTTCTGACAAGCAAATTCAATGGGGAAACCAGATTCACTTAACAACCAAGTTAATAACTTATAAACTGCAGTGATTCATTTAACAACTGTGGCAAGAAAGGTCGTAAAATGGGGCAAAATTCACTTAACAAATGTCTCACTTAACAGCAGAAATGTGGGGATCAATTGTGGTTGTAGGTTGAGGAATTACCTGTATTGAGACAAGCTGTCAGAATAAAGTGAAAATATTGTTTACTCTCTCTGCAAACTCATGAAATTCTCTCTTGATACCCAAATGGAACCAACCTTAGTTGCATCTCTCCATATTCCCACATTGATAGTTTCTTTTTCTCCTTATTTATACTTTACCTATTGATTGGATGCTGCAAGATAATATAATAAAATTGATGTTTTTAACATTTTTATCAGAAGAACTGGAAAAAGAAGGAACTAGATTCTGGACCTTTTCCAAAACACCTATCCAAAATTCTCAGCAGCCTGAACCCATTTTAAGATGGATTATGAAAACCTGGCTGCTTAATATTATTTGCGAAATACAAACAGCGTCATTTGCCTTTTGCCCAACATTGGGGAATGTGTGTGTGTGTCTGTGTGTGTATGCAGGATTTGAGGCATAACAAGTCACCATTATTTCACATCTGATTTGGTTTAAAAGAAAAACAGTTTTGCACTTTTCTTCAGGGTTGTGGATTATTTTGATCCCCTTCCTGGGGCAAAGTCAGGTGACCAACAAAGCAAGACATCGTATTACAGTTTTGTGCTTTCCCAAGGACTAGAAATTGCCCCACTAGGTCAGAGGTCTCCAAACATGGCAACTTTAAGACTTGTAGACTTCAACTCCCAGAATTCCTCAGCCAGCTTTGGAAATAACTATCAAGACGGTGAACAAACCTAATGCAGGCAGCCCTTGACTTCCAACAATGACAAGGGCTCTGAAAAAAAAGTGGCTTGTGACCGTTTTTCACACTTATGACGGTTGCATCCTCCCCACGGTCACGTGATCAAAGTCCAGGTGGTTCCTACTGAGGATGGTTGCCTTGTCCCAGGGTCATGGGATCACTTTCTGTAACCACCTCACAAGCAAAGTGTCAATGTGGGAAGCCACATTCACTTCACAACCATAAGAATTTAACAATTGCAGTGATTCATTTAACAACTGTGGCAAGAAAGGTCATAAAATGGGACCAAATTCATTTACAAATGTCTCCCTTAGTAACAGAAATGTTGGGCTCAATTGTGGTTGAAAGTTGAGGATTATCTTTTCCTATTTTCTCCACAACAACCACCCTGTGAGGTGGGCTGGGCTAAGAGAGAGAGAGTGACTGGCCCAACGTCACCCAACTGTCTTTTATGCCTAAGGCAGGACCAGAACTCCCAGTTTCCGTCCTGGTGCCTTAAGCACCAGACCAGAGGTCTCCAACCTTGGCCACTTTAAGACTTGTGGACTTCAGCACCCCAAGTCTTAAAGTGGCCATGGTTGGAGACCCCTGCACTAGGTCCATCTAACAGTTCAAAAACCAGGATCACACTGGAGTTTGCTTACATTGATTAGGGACGAGCCCTTTCCTCTGGAATTGCTCTTGTTTGCCTGTATCGATTAATTAGCTGCAAAGTCAACAGCGGCTTTTGAAGGTCAGCTGGTATTGAAGGATGGCGTCCGTGCACCTTTTTCCACAGCAGAGTTCCAAAAGGGGGTTCCCATGTGTCTTCAAAACACTGACATCCAGAAGGGAATCGTCTTGAGAGAGAATAGGTGAATGCCAGGGATGCTTCCCCACCTTAAGGGGGCACAGTGGCCTGGTGGCTAAGATGCAGGGCTTGTCAATAAGAAGGTTAGCAGTTTGAGGCCCAAGCAGCATGTGACAGGGTAAGCTCCTGTTACTTGCTCCAGCTCCTGTTCATCTAACAGCTAAAAAGAGCATGCTAATGCGAGTAGATAAATAGGTACCACTTTGGTGGGAAGGGAACAGCTTTCCCATGCACATCGGCTTGTAGTCATGACCACGGAAGTACTTCTGACAAGTAAAGTCAATGGGGAAGCCAGATTCACTTAACAACCATGTTACTAACTTAACTACAGTGATTCACTTAACAACTCTAGGAAGAAAGGTTGCAAAATGGGGCAAAACTCACTTAACCACGGTCTCGCTTAGCAAAAGAAATTGTGGTCATAAGCCAAAGACTACCTGTATCTGATTAGCTGACTAGTGAGAGCGTTATTAGCCCAAACGAGGAACAGTACCAGCCATGGATACCATCTGGAACAGGGTTTCTCAACCCGGGTGACTTTAAGATGTGTGGCCTTCAACTCCCACAATTCAAAGCAAAGCTGACTGGGGAATTCTGGGAGTTGAAGTCAGCCAAGGCTTAAAGTTGCCAAGGTTGGAGACTTCTGTCCTAGAGTGTCTTCTCAACTGACAACAGTGATACTCAGAACTTACAGAACAAACCCCATGCAAATAGAGTAGGCCACACATCTTAAAGTCACCCAGGTTGAGAAATACTAATCTAGAACATCTTACCCCGTTGTTTAAGGTTGGCTTCTCCTTCCAGTTTCCCAAAACCGTTTTTGAAGGCCATCTCTATCTCTTCAGACCTCAAATGGGCTTCTCTTTTAATTCTTCCTCCCAGGCAGACATGCTGAAGATATTTTTGGAGAACTCTTCAACGAAGCCAACAGCTTTTATTTGCGGATGAACTCCTTGCAGGAACGGGTGGATCTTTTGGTGATCAAGGTCACTCAGCTGGACTCCACCGTAGAAGAAGGTACCGAATTATGGTCAGATTTAGGAAGATTCTTAGTCATCCAGGTCTTGGTTGCCCCAAAGGTGCTTTTTCAAAAGGCCACTGGACTTTGTTTCCCCTTGAAGACATTTCCCTTCTCATCCAAGAAGCTTCTTCTGTTCTGACTGAATGGTGGAAGATGAAACGACCTGATACCTGCAAGGAGTATAAATCCTTCCACTCTCCACATTCAGTCAGAACTGAAGAAGCTTCTTGGATGAGAAGCGAAACGTCTTCAAGGGAAAACAAAGTCCAATTGCCTTTTGAAAAAGCACCTTTGAGAGGATGGTCAGATTGAATAGATTTTTATTGTTCAGGCTAGCCTTTTTTCTCTTTTTCTCTCTGTGTGAGTCATATTTCATCCACTCTTTGAGAAATATCATCCCCTCCCACATCCCCTTCAATGCCTCCTTATTATATTCTGGCAAAGATGACTTTGTAAGTCATGGCATGGCCATATTGTCTGAGATTATGTGCAAAATCCAGCCAGCCTTGATAGTAGATTGACTGTTTCCTAGTATGATTTGATTGCTTATTGTACCTTATGACTGTCATTAAGTGTTGTACCTGATGATTCTTGACTCTTGACAAATGTATCTTTTATGCATAGTGAGAGCATTTGCACCAAGACAAATTCCTTGTGTGTCCAATCACACTAAGCCAATAAAGAATTCTATCTATCTATCTATCTATCTATCTATCTATCTATCTATCTATCTATCTATCTATCTGCTAT